CATCTTTTCTTTATATATCTCAGGATTATTTCCCTTGTTATTATAAACATGAATTACTTTTATAATTTATTTATTTATTCATTCATTTAAGATTTTATTTATTTATTTGACAGAGAGAGACACAGTGAGAGAGGGAACACAAGCAGGGGGAGTGGGAGAGGGAGAAGCAGGCTTCCCGCAGAGCAGGGAGCCCGATGCGGGGCTCGATCCCAGGACCCTGGGACCATGACCTGAGCCGAAGGCAGACGCTTAACGACTGAGCCACCCAGGCGCCCCTACTTTTATAATTTAGATGACTGACAAAAATTTCTTAAGGAAGTATTATTGATGATGGCTTAGTTTGTTTTTAAAGGAAGAAATAGATGCTTACATTTGGCAGTGCTTATAGGAAAGGAAAGCGCTACTGAAGAAAACTATAATAATACTCCATTTATATTTTATTTCTTTCATCTAGGGGTCTCTAAGAACTTTATAAATACTAATTAACCTTTATATAGGGTCAACTTATTGGGCTGAAACTTAGTAAATAGGGGCCTTACTTTATATGGAGAATCTAAGGAACAAAGAAGTGCTTTGTACAAGATTCCAAACTGTGCAGAGTATATGGGCCTCCAGTCTACACATCCGATTCTAGAAGCCTTGAACAACTCTGTTCCTTTTGTTCTTTTTTTTTCTTAAGATTTTATTTATTTGTCAGAGAGAGAGAGGAAGAGAGAGAGCACAAGCAGGGGGAGCATCAGGCAGAGGGAGAAGTAGGCTCCCTGCTGAGCAAGGAGCCTGATGCGGAACTTGATCCCAGGACCCCGAGATCATGGAGCCGAAGGCAGGTGCTTAACTGACTAAGCCACCCAGGTATCTCTGTTCCTTTTGTTCTAAGGGGGAAGTTATGATGTGGGTGTTCTAAGCCTCTTACAAACATTTAGTAGCATTTGTTAACCTAAAACTATAACCCCCAAGTTGGAAAAACTGGTTGGAGAAGTAAAGGAATCTATATCAAGATAAGAATTGCAATTTCAGAGCTCTTGAGGCCAATAAACAAACCACAAACCAGTTCTTGGGCCATAAGTTACTGCTATTCTTTCTATCATCTGTCACTATATTCAGATAGAACATCTCTAGAATATTGTTAATAGCTATCAGAAAAAAAACTGGAGAAAAGTTTTGACAATAAAAATGCTGGGAAAGGGGCGCCTGGGTGGTTCAGTTGGTTAAGCATCTGCCTTCGGCTCCGGTCATGATCCCAGAGTCCTGGGATCAGGTCCCGCATCAGGCTCCCTGCTCAGCGGGGTCTGCTTCTCCCTTTCCCCCTGCCCCTGCCCTCTCTCTCTTTTTCTCATGCATGCGCTCTAATAAATAAATAAAATCTTAAAAAGAAATGCTGGGAAAGAGGCTTACATACCTGAAGGCCTGAGAGAGAATCTTCAAGACTTGGTACTGTTAATAATAACGATCCTTGTTTCCTTACATTTTGACTGATATATTCCCAGGCTCTGCAACATATTAAAAACTTATATTTTAGGTTTTACCAGATACTGAACACTTTTTAAAAAATGAAGATGACAAAAGAAAATGCAGCACAGGCAATACCTAGAAATCCAGATGGGCAAAATGTTTGCCTGCAGGAAATAGGATTGCAGCAAAATATTAGAAATTGGTAAATTCTTCAGTTTCTGAAGGGGGTGTTGGCAAAATTATGATGTTACAACATTGAAGAGATTCAACACGATGGGGATTTGTGTTACTACGAGGTACTGTTAAGGCCAAAACTCAGTTTTCAGAACCAATACACAAGTCAAAGCTGGATCAGTAGTTAAAGCCCCTTAAACTCTTTTGATTTTTTTTGAGGGGAGGGGGAGAGGGAGGAAGAAGGGGAGAGGGAGAGGAAGGGGGGGGGGAGAGAGAGAGAGAGAGAGAGAGAGAGAGAGAGAGAGAGAGAGAGGGGCAGGGGAGAGAATCCCAAGCGGGCTCCAAGCCCAGCACAGAGCTGACACAGAGCTTGATCCCATGACCCTGAGATCATGACCTGAGCTGAAACCAAGAGTCAGAAGCTTAACTGACTGAGCCACCCAAGCGCTCCTTAAACTCTTGATGAAGTGTGTCAAAACTGGTTCTGTGGAATGGAGAAGGGCTAAGAGGTAGAGGTGGGGAAGAGTAGTGGAGAAAGGCCATAGACGCCAGAAGCCAAGCAAAGACTAACAATTAAGCATGATATGTAGATTACATCTTTTAAAATAACATCAAGAGTGAAATCATACTTTATCTGGTTGTCAAAAATATTTAATGGGAAGACTTTTGGGCAACATGGTGCCTGCGAAGTTGAGTGGGGCCAGCCAGATTGAAAGCATGATGAAATGCCATGTGCGTGTATATGTGCCACAAGGCAGTACCTGCCCAGTTCTGACTAATTCAGTGCAGACATGAACTGGCTTTCTATACTGTGCATGAGTGTTGACCGTACACCCCACTAGCAGGGAGCAATGGCCAAGCAAGGCAGAGATGCGCATCCCTTGCAACGGGCAGGTGGGCAGTGGTGTCATTTGCATTTCTCTCAGTTACAGCAATGGTTATTAGGTTTAGTATTCTGGAGTTTATTAGGCAAAATGATACAAATGTTCTTTTTCCTCAGGCTAGATCTAAAATCATGTAGCAGTGCTTGATAATTGTCACTGTGCTTGGGCTAGAGCTATTGTTTTGATGCGGTTCCTTAAAAATGACATATTTTATAAGTTTATTTAATAAGAATGAAGAAGCTGACTAAATTGGCATGGCTGGCTGTGCCTCTCAGAATAGCACTTGCTGTTTCTGGTAAGCTATCATTCTGGGTGCTGTGTCTGTTTCACCTACTCAAAAAATACATTGAGGCACCTTTTAAACTTACAATTACTCTACAAATCTGGGGTGTTACTCTGTAATGAGATCGGACTTATTCTGAAGCCCGAGTCTTTGCTGAGTACACATTTTCTACTATTACGATATATTTGTTTTCTCGTATATACTAACTCCTATAGCAGTATCATTCCACTTGTCTCAGATTCTAATTAAGACAAGTCCTTGGAGGCTATATGTGGCGTCATCTTTCTTTTTCACTCAGTATAATACAGAATTAACATAGGTAAATGATCAGTTTTGTCAGAACGATTCCAATGTCAGAATGCTTTACTGTGTCTTCTAAACATTCTCCTGTATACTGTCATCCATGGCTATAATCTATATTTCAAATTCATTGTACTAGACTGATTTAGGAGAAATGACTGAACTAGCACACGTGGTCGATACCTATTCACTGAACAACGTAGAGCGTGTGAATGAATGTACCAAGAAAGCTTTTTAAAACAACCCAAATATTCAGTATTTCCAGTGTCAAGTTCACCAGTGGCTTTCATCACTCTTCAGCAGTCAAAATCTTCCTGTAATGAATCTCCAAAGATTTTAAAGTGTTTTTCTCTTTTAACTTCTTATACAACATAAACCTGGTACTATTTCATTCTCCAACATTTATGGAATGCTTTTGCTACTGGTCATTAACTTAAAAAGGTGAAAAGCTAGTCATACTTTGTCCACTGGAAATTAAGCTTAAAGAGGGCTATGATTAAGATAACTTTGCTCATGTTGTGTTTCTGGTCTTCAACCTGTGACCAAAAACTGTCACCCGTTCTGGCTGAGCTTTGATTATATGATTAGCTTTCTTTTGAACTAGTTTCTTTTAAAAATATTTAAGCTGTTAATTTCACAATGACCTTAACCTACTAGCAGTGTGTGTGTGTGTGTGTGTGTGTGTGTGTGAGAGAGAGAGACAGAAAGCTGGGGGCAGGGGAGAACACAGGAGGTAAAAGGGTAGCAGGATAAAGAGCTTTAGCCATTCAGGATTCCACTCCGTATTAACTGTTTATGGTCTATATGTCTTTTTTTTTTTTTTTTTTGGTCTATATGTCTTTTTATTTCTCTGCAGTATAAACCTTATTGATGCACTAATCCAAACATCTGTGTAATTCCATTTTGTACATATGGAAAGGAGTTTTCCTGCATTTAGAGTACACATATGCCATTATGATAAAAAAAAAAAAGTCATGAATCCTAGCTAGCTAGAAAATAAATGTCTCAGACTATGGACCACAGGAATTTTCTAATTAGAGGAAGCTACTGGTCCTGATGGGGTCACAAAGCATCAAACTGTGGCAGAGAAGTCAAAAAAGTGATCACAGATATGCTAATTTTCCCACTGAGTGAATAGTGGAATAGTTTTAGGAACCTACTATTACCACCTTAAAAATATTTTAAAAGTTTGATAACTAATCACTATTTTGGTTAATATTCTTATATCTTATATCACTTATAGAAATTAATTCCCATCATGTTTTTTTCAAAGAAAATAAAACGGAGACAGAAAAGAGTAAGTATAAACGCCCATCGGGAATTGTTATTGCATTCCTGATTGCTAAGCAAATGCTTGGGTCATGATATCATTTAATATATACCCCCCCATTAGATGTAATATTTTACAAACTTAGACAATCAAAGTTTACTTTTTGTTTTATCCATACTACATTTCCTTACTAATATAATCTTGTTGAGGTTGTTTTAAAAAACAGTTTAGGGCGCCTGGGTGGCTCAGTCGATTAAGCGACTGCCTTCGGCTCAGGTCATGATCCTTGAGTCCCGGGATCGAGTCCCGCATTGGGCTCCCTGCTCAGCAGGGAGTCTGCTTCTCCCTCTCACCCTCTTTGCTCTCGTGTTCTCTATCTCTCATTCTCTCTCTCTCAAATAAATAAAATCTTTAACAAATAAAAAAAGTTTAATATGAAAATACTTCTACTTTACCAATCCCTTTTTAAAAAAAAGATATTTATTTAAGTAATCTCTACACTCAATGTGGGTCTTATATTCTCCAAGATCAAGAGTCACATGCTCTACTGACTGAGCCAGCCAGGCACCCCACTAATCCCTTTTCATAGTTTGCTGAATATATTTTAACAAATTTCTTGCTTGAATAAGTAACATACCTGGCCTGTTCTGCCTCATCAAGAAAATATTCGAAGACATTATTCATGATAATGACATCAGCATTTTGCAGCAGTGAACCCTGGGTACAGATGTCTGCATGAAGCACCTTAAGAAGAATGAGTTCATTTAGGAAAAGAAAGATAACCACAGAAGAAATATCTATTGGTTCAACGATATGAGGCGATATGAGAAGTCAACCTTAATTAAAATGTGAGAAAGAGCAGTATATTTAATAGTATCATCTATGGGAGATATTTAGTATCTAATTAAAAACCATAAACTTGTGAATATTTGTTTTAGACAGATTTGTTTACATAGTCATATAATTACAGTCTTTCAATCCCCAGTTCAGAACTTTTCCCACTATGACTATTATCATTAATTGTAAGAGTCAAAGGCCTTAGGTTCAAACTCTGGTTCCATCATCAACTGAGTTTGTACACTAGGCAGTTGGTGTCTTCATAAATAAAAAGGAATAATATCTGTCCTGATTCACAGAATCAAATGGGATCATATAAAAACTATAAAAGTTATTTATGTATTGTAAAATGTTAATACAAAAAAATAAAATGTTAATACAGTATGTTTATCGGCTTCGTCTGACTTTTCATCTAAAATTTACTTGATTATCCAAAAAAGCAAACAAAACAATGTATTTAAAAATACATGCCTCACACCCAAAACAATAAAACACCTAGGAATAAACTTAACCAAAGAGGTGAAAGACCTGTACTTTCAAAAGTATAAAACACTGGGGCGCCTGGCTGGCTCAGTCGGTTAAGCGTCTGCCTTCGGCTCAGGTCATGATCCCAGAGTCCTGGGATCGAGTCCCGCATCGGGCTCCCTGCTCAGTGGGGAGTCTGCTTCTCCCTCTCCCTCTGCCTGCCGCTCTGCCTACTTGAGCTCTCTTATCTCTCTGTCAAATAAATAAATAAAATCTTTAAAAAAAACAACAAAAGTATAAAACATTGATGAAAGAAACTGAAGATGACACAAAGAAAGGGAAAGACATTCCATGCTCATGGATGTAAAAATGTCTACACTACCCAAAGCAATGTAGATATATAATGCAATTCCTATCAAAACACCAACAGCATTTTTCACAAAACTAGAACAAACTATCCTAAAATGTGTAGGGAAACATTTGACAAAAGACTCCAAATAGACAAAGTCATCTTGAAAAAGAAAAACAGAACTGGAGGCATCACAATTCCAGGCTTCAAGTTATATTACAAAGCTGTAGTCATCAAAGCAGTATGGTACTGGCACAAAAATAGACACATAGATGAATAGAAGAGAAGAGCAAACTAAGAAATAAACCCACAATTTTATGGTCAGTTAATCTTTGACAAAAGAGGCAAGAATATGCAACAGGAAAAAGTCTCTTCAACAAATGGTGTTGGGAAAACTGGACAGCTACATGCAAAAGAATGAAACTGGACCACTTTCTTACACCATACACAGAAATAAACTCAAGATGGAGTAAAGACCTAAATATAAGACCTGAAACCATTAAAATCCTAGAAGAGAGCACAGATAATAATTTCTCTCACACTGGCCACAGCAACATCTTTCTAGATAGGTCCCCCGAAGTAAGGGAAACAAAAGCAAAAGTAAACTATTGGGACTATCTATTAAAGGTAACAATCAACCAAACTAAAAGACAACCTCCTGAATGGGAGATGATATTTGCAAATGATGTATCTGATAAAGGGTTGGTATCCAAAATATATAAAGAACTTGCACAACTCAACACCAAAAAACCAAAAAATCCAATTTAAAAAATGGGTAGAAGACATGAACAGACATTTTTCCAAAGAAGACATCCAGATGGCCAACAGACACATGAGAAGATGATCAACATCACTCATCATCAGGGAAATGCAAATCAAGACTACAATGAGATATCATTTCACACCTGTGAGAATGGCTAAAAACAAAAACACAGGAAACAAGTGTTGGTGAGGATGTAGAGAAAAAGGAACTCTCTTGCACTGTTGGTGGGAATGCAAACTGGTGCAGCCACTGTGGAAAACAATACAGAGGTTCCTCAAAAAGCTAAAAATAGAATGACCCTATGATCTGGCAATTGCACTACTGGGTATTTATCCCCAAAATACAAAAACACTAATTCAAAGGGATACACGCACCCTTGTGTTTACTGAAGCATTATTTACAACAGCCAAATTATGGAAGCAGCCCAAGTGTCCATCAATAGATGAATGGATAAAGATGTGGTATCTATATCTATCTATATGGGATATTATTCAGCCATACATATATACAAACACACACACACATACAAATGGTATGACTATACACATATATGATCATATATGTGTGTGTGTGTATGTATATATACATAGGATATTATTCAGCCATAAAAAAGAATGAAATCTTGCCATTTGCAATGACATGGATGGAGCCAGAGAGTATAATGCTAAGTGAAATAAACCAATCAGAGAAAGACAAATACGGTATGATTTCACTCATATGTGGAATTTAAGAAACAAAATAAACAAGCAAAGGAGAGAAACAAAAAAAAGTAGAGAGAGACAAACCAAGAAATAGATCTTAACTATAGAGAACAAACTGATGGTTACCAGGGGGAGGTGGAAGCGGGGGGATGGGTGAAACAGATGATGGGGATTAAAGAGTGCATTTACGATGAGCACTGAGCAATGTACAGAATGGCTGAATCACTATACTGTACACCTGAAACTAATATAACACTGTATGTCAACTACAGAGCAATTACAATAAAAAACTTAATAATAAAAAATAAAAACTATATACCTCAAAAAATTAACTTGACCACAATCAACAAGTCTTGCCACAGGCAAGATAACAAGAGAAAACATCTATTTTCTCAAGTGCAAAACAAAGCACTTTTATTTTAAAAAGAAGAAAAAAAGTTTAACTCTTTTGTATTAAAGGATTTCTTTGGGCTTACAAATAAATAGTATTCAGAATGTTGTGGGGTCTGATTCTTAACATATTTTATCCCCCTTTTTAAACAGTAAAAATACTAAGATAATTTAAATTAGGTGGGCCTCTAGTCTCTGAAACACACCTTTGACATATTCCTGAACACACAGAAAATAATCACTTTAAACTTTCTAAACATGTTGCTGAGATATGAAATAGGCATGCAAATTAACCTACTGATATACCACAGTTTCCTCTTTTTCTTTCCCATCTCTGTTCACTCTCCCACACCCCACCCCACAGATAGGGTAAAAAAAGAATGTGGTGGATCAATTAATTATGGCAACCAACAGAAGTCCCAGGGAAACTCCCCAAAATGGCTCTGGACAAACTGGAATACTAACAATGCAAAGGCCACATGGCAACCCAAAATAATTTAACCAATTTTTAATGGGCACCTTCTATATACGAGATACTGTGCTGGGAGATACATACACCATGATGAATGAGATACAATATCTACACTCAAGTATGTTATATTCTAGTAATGGGATGAAACAGCTATGCTGGTAACGCTAAGTGCCATCAAAGGAATAAGCAAGATATGAATAAAGAAAACTTCCCCTTTAGTCTAGCGGAGAGGGTAGAAAGAATTTAAGTCAATGGGTCTTTCATGTAAAGATAGTGCATAAGACACATGGCATCCTGAAACCCCATTATAGTAACAGTATAGGGTTTTTAGTATACCCAGGAGGATGGGGGGAATGGGAAAGGAAATAACAGAGATAACATTTTGTAAGCTAGGGAAAAAAAGGAACTAACAAGGAATTTAGGAGACTAGAAAAATCTGATTTCTAAGCTGGATAGATAGAAAGCAAAGACCCACACTTGGTTTATACTACAGAATCTCAAAAAAGGCTCACAATTGATGGCACCAGGTATTTCTGGGTGAAGAAGGGAGAAATGCTAAAAATAAAGTAATTGGGTTGAAAGTCAGTTTTAGAAGTACCCAGACCCCTATACAACTTTCTCATACCCCAGCAGAAGAATAGAGGTTTATTCTCTGGAAAGGGGAAAACAAAAGGTGTCTGGGTCAGGGGGCACCAGGACTAGTTGAAAGAAAGGCTAATGTACTGAAAACAAGGGAAGTAAGGCAGACAGGATGCTGTGAATCCCTTATGCTTCACTTCTTTTCCTCTACCACTCAGTCCCCAGGATGTTGTTTGCCACTCAGTAAGGAGACTGGAAAAGTTTTCTCTGGGCAATCAGACCAGCCCAAGAGGAAAGATCTTAAGATACTTTATCAGATATTCCCCAACTAATTAACCAGCCAAACAAGATCACTCGACACTGAAGCCCACAGTGCTCAGAATCCCCCACTTCAACCAGCTTGTTTCTCACTCTTTTAAGTCTGAATGGACAACCAAGGATTCCTAGACTTCTTAAGAAAGTCCTGTTAAAAAAGCCCAAACAAGAACAAAAACAAAACAAAAAGCAGAGCCTGAGACTTAAAGGCTACATAGATTTCAAGATACTATAAAAAATAACCCTAGAATTCCTTTCTGTTGATCTTAGGGCCTCTCAAATACAACAATTGTCTTTACCATTGAGGAAGGAAACTGTTAAGGTTGCCAATAAAATGGTATAAAAACAGCTTTCTGTCACTGGGTTACAAATAGCCACTGAAGCCGCAGAAGTATGTGGGGTGGGCATTCATCCACATATGCTCTGTTGAAAAGCAAGGGGTGAAGACCTTTTAACATGTAAATAAATGTGTTTTACATACCTTTATCGTCTTCTTTAAAAAAATAACAAGGTACTTGGATCTCCATTTATTTATTAAAAGATTTATTTATTTTAGAGAGAGAGAACATGCGTGGGGGGGGGGAGCAGCAGAGTGAGAGGGAGAGAGAGAATCCCAGGCAGACTCCCTGCTGAGCACTGAGCCCTGCGCAGAGCGATCCCACCACCCTGAGACTGTGACCTGAGCCGAAATTAAGAGTCGGATGCTCAACTGACTAAGCCACCCTAGCACCCATTTATAAACTAGGATTCTTAAAAGGTCAATTTTTAAATCTTAACTTTCAATTAAATCAACATTCCTGTTATGTGATTATTATATAAGAACAATGTGTTTCTGTTCACTAAATATGGGATAGTGAGAAAAATCCATGAATTTATTACTAGACGATAAATTTGCTTTAATCATTTGTTTCTCTAAGATGAGAGAGAGACAAAGAGAGAGAAAAAAGGAAGTTTGGAAGGAGGAAAAAACATTTCCTTCAATAAAAAAAGGGGAGGACTAGATCCTTAATCATACCGAGATATCTTTCAACACTTTAACACCAGAGAGCCTTAGTTGCTCAGTATCTCTCTGCATTGCCATTGAAGTGTAGGATCGTCAGTGAAAGGACAAGAATTACTGCATTAACCAAAACACTTCCTTTCCCTTTTCTGGTTATTTTTCCCCTTGCATACAGAAAAAGAGAAAAGTTCTGTTATAGCCAAATGCAGGGCATCATTCTCCTGAACTGCCGTTCTGTGGCATCCACACACAACTCCTGGAAGCTTAGAAAAAGAAGGTAAAGAACTGAGAGCATTACTTAACTTTTTTGCTTACTTTCAACATAAGAGTTTCATTAAGTACACTTCTGACCTACATCTAGAGATTCGAATTTGAATGTTGCTACCAAAACTATACTACAGAAGAGATGAAAGAAATTAAGAAAAATTCTACTTTCTAATAAAATTGGGGAGGAAGAGAAATAGGAGTGGAAGGTAATTATAATTAAATTCACCTTTATTGTTTAAAAGTACTAAGTCAACTCAATCTGTTTCTACACGACAGCCACCAAGAATAGATTCAAAAAGATTTTCCAACTCCAATCCAGAAGAAATCTGGCTAAATTATGCTATAAAATAGATAACGGAATATATATTTAAAAGGGTACCTTTAGTGCAGCATAGGGAACATAGTCAATGATATTATGATAACGCTATAGGGTGACAGATGGTAGCTACGCTCGTGATGAGCACTGCATAACATACAGACTTATCAAGTCACCATGCCGTGCACCTGAAACTCATGCAACGTTGTCTCTCAACTGCACTTCATTACCTTTATTCTGTCAGTGAACTGGTATTTTTTTATGACCATTTCCTGCAACTGGCAAAAGTCTCCATTCAATTCTACTCCATATAGTTGCAGTGCTGAACTGTAAAGATAACCCTGAAAAAATAAAGGCATGTTATGATGCAAGTAAATGAACTGTGAGTTCATTTCTACACAAAATTAAGAAAAAAAATCACACTTTAAAAAAATAGAATTCAATAAAGTAAAAATAAAATGAAAGATAAATAACATGTATGTAAAACTTGTAACTTCGAGAACTCAAACTCTTACTGATCAAGATCTTGACTGTAGTTTATTAATTTCATTATTTAAAAGCAATTATATTTTGAAAGATTGACTTCTTACTTTTCCTGACGAAACTGTGCATACAATAAAGTTGGAAATGAGAAAAGTGATCGCATACAGATTCTCTGTTTAATACCCTGTTTCTGTAATTTCTTGGGAAGTTACAGCAGCAGAAAGCAAGAAAGGAGTTAACCCGTGGGGAATATAATGGAAAATCATGCACAGTCTGACACTAGAGGCAGGTGGCTGGAGATGTGTCCTGTTTGGCTTAGGGAAGTCAGTCTGGTGTCTGCGATCTGCCAAAGATAACCGACCAATTAGTTAACAAGGAAAATCAAGAACTGACTAGATATTATTATGTATGCACTTTTGATTGTAAAAACAAAAAACTAACAAGGAAGGAAAGGTCAAAACATATTCTGACTTTACATCAAGTTACATACTTTACATCAAGTAACACCCACATGTGAACCAAATTTATATTTATAGCTCATGATAGATTTTTAGAATATGTTCAACAGAGCATAAGTAGGTATTCAAAAATTTTTTGTTGACTGAATCAGTAACCATTTTAATATGAAGAAAAATGAGGATATGTTTAAATTTGTTAACACTGTCACATACTTGCATAGCCTCATTTCTTTCAGCTATATATATATATATATGTATATATATATATACTTTGCTAACAAATCAAAAAACGGACAAGAGTGGAGCAAATATGGTAAATAATCATATTTACCCATGTTCTCCCTCAAAAAACCATCTGACAAACTGTATTTTCTATTATGGATATCTTTCCTAATTATAGAATAAAAGTCTTAACACTGACAAATAAACTAAGCACTAAAGAGTTAAGTGTTTCTGTTTAGAGCAGGCAATGGATGCTGGGAACTGAGAGTTTCTGGCATGAGCCTCTACTGCTGTTGGCCACATGTTTTAACAAGTCTGCTAATGACAACCAGAAACCACATTTAGAGTTTTTTGATAAAACCACTTAGGAACGTTACAAATACTCATGATCTGAATTTTTTAAAAAAAGCCACATTGAAGTGATATTTCAGACACAAATGTCTACATTCAAACTTGAATCACAGAAAATTGGAGCAAGGTATGTCCTTGGATATCATTTAGTAGCTTATTTACAGGTGAGGAACGTGAAGCCAGGAGTGTTAAGCGACTTTGTTATGGCCATATGCAACTTCCTAGGTGAAGTAAATTTTATAAAAGTTTTTATAAAAGTTCTTATCAAAGTTCAGTACACTATTTAATACAGCACAAAGAAAACAGAGTTCGAAGGTCAACAATGACTGACAAAATAGCAAAATGTTATGAGGTCACCTGCTTCTGCTTTGTTGATATGCCTTCATTTGTGTTACAGAGACAAACCAGTAAAGGAAATCAGAGAGCTGGCTTTTAAATTCCAAATTCAAGATAATATTTTAACCTTATTATTCTGTTACTCTAATAAATAAAGCCAAGCTGTCACCTTGGATGGTGGCAGGCAAAACTGTTGCTAGCAGGAGGAGAAAGTATTTTCCAAATGTTGAATATGTCCACAAGCTGGACTTTACCCCATAGAGGACTGTGCCAAGCCTGGAGCCAACATCAACCAAGACCTTTCCCGACAGATCAGGGAGCACATGATGATAAATGAACTTCAATTCCATGAGGGAGAAGGAATGAGAAATGAATCCTGGGGAATTAGAACAGAATAAACATTAAATTGTGCTTGGGTATTAAACATTCTATTCTGTTTTTCTAATTCTTTTATCCCTATTTATAAAGTATACTCCACGTTTTTCTCTTCTAAATCAATGAAAGCTATTCAGAGACTATTTAGAAAAAAATAATGTGATAATTTTGCACTCATTCGCTCTGAGCTATATTAGAGAAGAATAACTATGAAGTCTCCGGCAATTATTTTTATTTTTAAAGATTTATTTATTTCAGAGAGAGAGAGAGAGAGAGAGAGAGCATAAGCGGGAGGGGCAGAGGGAGAGGGAGAGAAAAAAGCCCAAGCAGACAACACGCTGAGCACAGAGCCCGATGCAGGGGTCGATCCCACGACCCTGAGATCATGACCTGGGCTGGAACCTGAAACCAAGAGTTGGACACCTGACCAACTGTGCCACCTTGGTGCCCCCAAGTCTCTGACATTTAAAAAGGCCTCTAGGGAATAGCTACCCCGCAACCTGTCCCTATCTTTATGCCCCTCACTTCCTTCCTGCTATTGCTTAGACGGTCCTTGGATTAGACTGTAGTACTACTTCAATAGACTACCAAATGAATGACCATCTCCGGAGTTGAGCAATGTGGCAGCCCTGACCAACCTAAAACGTGTTCTGGAGTGCAGGAGAAGGGTGGTATGAAAGGAAGTGAAGATATGCCCATTAATTATTCTTATTTCCCTTAATTTAACCGCTACAATTTTTTTTAACTGCTACAAGCTTCCTAGCCCATCTTCTCCCTCCATTGTTTCTGTAATCAAATATCTGGGAGAGTCTGAGTGTATTTTTTTTAAAGACTTACTATATTATGTCCCACATAATATAATGGTCAGGAAGGGGAGAAACTTTGGCCATAACTAAGAGATGGTGGCAAAGAAAATGGAAGCAGGCAGGTTAATCCTTTGGAAGAAAATAAAGGGTGTGACTTGGGGTGGGGGTGGACTTTGACCACCAGAGCCTTACCTGCCTAGAATCCTCATCCTCACTACTCTGTCACATTAGTGCTTCTGCCCTGGGTTACAGAGTCGTCATTAGTGTCTTACAGCTAGACAAGTCCCTTGTCACAGAAGGAAGGAGAGTTCCACAGATGATAGCTTTTTCAGATTCACTGTGGTTATGTGGGCTGGCCTGCATACCCAGTCACTATTTACAACCTGATTTGGATGGGAAAATGCTTCCTAATCTTTAAATTTTTATTTGTCAAACATATCTCTTCTTTAAATTTCTGTAAATCAGGGGCACCTGGGTGGCTCAGTTGGTTGAGTGTCCAACTCTTGATTTTGGCTTGGGTCCGGATCTCAGGGTCGTGGGACTGAGGCCCACATCAGGCTCCTCACTCAGGGGGGAGTCTGCTGGAGACTGTCTCTCTCCCTCTCCCTCTGCCCCTCCCCACCCCCGCTCTCTCTTTCTAAAATAAATAAATCTTAAAAAACTTCTGTAAATCAGATCTGATATGGTATTATAGTTGCAATTCACTTTTTAGTTTTCCTTCTATCCTTCTTGTCTAAGTCACTTTCTATTCTGTAAATTTCAACCACCTCAAATGGAAACTGTAAGTACTACCTAAAAACAGAATCTTAAGTTAATCAGGAGAGTTTAATTCCCAATTATAATATAGATACAATATATTTGTATTAGCAGCATATTACAAATTTGGTAGTTAACTTTTGACAATGATATTATCTAAGATCAGTAATATGAACACAAGATTACTCACCTGGAGAGGTAGGCCACTATAAGCAATAACTCTATATCTAAGTGACCAGGAATCCTGAAATAGCGTGTCTAAAGGAATAGCCTAGATGATCATATCCAATTTGAACAAAGAAAAAATATATATACACGCACATATAAAATTAAAGACTTATTTATTTATTTGAGAGAGAGAACATGCATGTGCATGAGTGGGGGGGAGGGCCAGAGGGAGAGGGAGAGAGAATCTCAAGCAGACTCCCTGCTGAGTGTGGAGCCTAATGTGGGGCTCGATCCCATGACCCTGGGACCATACCTGAGATGAAATCAAGACCCTGACACTCATGGGGTGCCTGGATGGCTCAGTTGGTTAAGCCACTGCCTTCAGCTCAGGTCATGATCCTGGAATCCTGGGATCGAGTCCTGCGTCGGGCTCTCTGCTCAGCGGGGAGACTGCTTCTCCCTCTGACCCTCCCCCCTCTCATGCTCTCTCTCTCAAATAAATACATAAAAATCTTAAAAAAAAAAAAAGATCTGACACTCAAACAACTGAGCCACCCAGGAGCCGCTTAACAAAGAATACATTAACAGAAGAGTTAACATATTAGCGGCATGGAGTCAGTCTAGCTTCCCATTTGGGACACAGGTGCTGCCTCTGAGGGGCGGAGATGCAGGAGACATTTTGTCACTAGAGTTGTTCCCTGTTATGGACTGGAGATGTTCTACTAGGTCAATCAAGGCTTGAATAAGCTCTTTCTCAAGATTATCTCTGTCCTCTAAATCCATGCCCATCCAACAATATCTGATTACTATCTGACTTCTCAAGTAGATGCTTTTATTGGGACATTTCAGCCCCCTTGCAGTTATATTTATCATTGTAAGTGAACCAGCATTATGGTATGGTTTATCTATGAATCTCTTTGAAGTATGGAAAGTATAAGTTGGTTTCCCTGTACTCAGTCACTTGTGATTAGTTTCTGGACCTGAAAAGTCACCTCTGATTCAACAGTTTCTGTGAAAAGCAGAGATACTCTCCTTGGAGACATTATGTGGCCCGGCTTCCCTGGACAATGTTGCTCTTTGGTCTCCCTAACCTCAATAACTGGTAATGGTTACGCTGAACGGTTGGCATTTTCCTTTCAAAAAACACTGAATGACTTGGTCAAGAATCTGTGTTCTCAGGACATGGAGAGAAAAGTATACACAAAGTCGTCAGGTTTGCATACTTGAGTGCCTACCTAAAGGTGCCGTCTGGTGTGAGCCACACACCATACAGTAATTTCTGCTCATTTTTCCTTCCTCACATAATGAATCAATAAAGTCTTCATCATAAAGGAATGCATCAACGTGAACTGTGGGTTCTGGCTGCTGCTGTATCTGGGGGAAAGGAGAAGAACTTCAAAAGAAATGAAGTACAAAGGAGTCTCTTTTTATTGCTAAATAAGGCAAAACATCAGTGGTTCAAATGCTAAAATTCTGAGAGCAACAACAAGGCAGAGAAAGACAAGTTTCACTTATCGAAGAGCCATCCTGCTCTTTTGTGGTTTTGTGTGTGTGTGTGTGTGTGTGTGTGTGTGTGTGTGAGACACTTGGTGAGACACTAGCAACTTTTAATTTGACCTGTAACGATACAAAACGTGGCTAGGAGAAATAGAAAAAATTTGTATTAAAGGAGTACTTCGTGACCATCTTGTCCATCCTGGGTTGTGTGTATATATATATATTTTTTTTTTTTTAAAGATTTTATTTATTTGACAGAGAGAGACACAGCGAGAGAGGGAACACAAGCAGGGGAAGTGGGAGAGGGAGAAGCAGGCTTCCCACTGAGCAGGGAGCTTGATGTGGGGCTGATCCCAGGGCCCTGGGATCATGACCTGAGCCGAAGGCAGACACTTAACGACTGAGCCACCCAGGCGCCCCCTTGGGCTGTATATTTTACAAATAAAGAAACTCCTACTCAGAGATTTCTCCAAAGAAATGACCATGTAGAGGGGAAAGAATTAAACTAATACCGGGTCTCCTGAGTCCTGCGTGTCAGTGACCGACCCATGAAAACACTTAGCAAGTCATCTCTGTGCAGAGGCAGAGTTTTCAAATAATAAAAACGTTAGTAACATTGCATGCTTACAACGAACAGGCCTTTATTAATACTGGTGATACGTGATATAATAGCAAGCGGCTACCAAGAAAAAATGTCTGATTCCTTTTACCCTAACTATAATAAAGAATCAACCTATCTACTTGGAGACCTACAAAATTGTATCTACACCTACACACATCTATATTATAAGCGTGTAAAATGTATGGACATACACAAGGACCAGAAGGAAATAACAGAAGATAAAAATAGTTTGTTAGGAGAAGGGATTATGGGTAGACTGTTACATGCAATGACTACTTTTTCCTCGTTTCATATATTTTGGTATATCATGCTATTGATACGACTGCCTTATTAATAACATCCAAACTATATTACAAATATTGCTCTCAGTTTTTATACTATCCACTATTTTCCACCTTTGGGACTGCAGGTTTACTAAAATTTGCTAAGTGCTCACAATGTGCACAGCACTACTGAAAATGTACAAGGTTTGGTTCCTCTGCTTCGGAATCTACACGGTGAAAAACCACAGAGGGTTGCTGTTTTCAGATTAGTGGGAGAAGAGAAGATTATTATTAGCTTTGTTTCAGGAAACAATATTCCTTGCATAGGTACCCCAGAAGAGCTGAGATTTGAAGGGGCTTGAATGAGGGGGTTGTCCAGGGAAGAAAAATGAGAACTTACTTTAGGAATGAAGGAACAGAATAAGCAAAAACTGTACAGCACAAAAGCAGGAGAAGACAAAGAGATGAATTTCACCTTCGATAACAGTGGGGGATACTGAACAGGAAAGAGAAAACCAGGACCATGATGTATACAGGCAGGGCCAGATTACTGTGGGGCCTTGTGTTTTTGGGGGTGGGGGACATGGAACGGGGTGGGGGGAGGTGCAGGGGTTTGAGTGTTTGGCAAACAGGATGCCCTCAAAAAATACCTGTTGAATGACTAGGGAGCCAGAGGATTACGGACTCAACAGAACTGGGGGCATCACTGAAGTACCAAATGAGAAAAGGTTTGAAGTAGAATTCAGGACGAATTAGATGAGAGAGGCTGTGGGATTAGGGAAGAACAGGAGAATCCTCAAGTAGCACTAAGAGTAAATTAATGTAATGTATTTACTTTTTGGAGGGCTACATGTTCTGAGGAAAGCATGGTTTCTAGAGGTAAGCAATTCCGAAGGTCCTCTGCTATGTTTTTCAACAGAATGTCGTTATTATCTTGAGTGAATTCATCAAAATCCCCTGGAAAAAAAAAAGGAAAGAAATATCTTTTATGGTTTTGGTTATACCTAGGCTCAGTGAACACAACGGCCATATTTTCTGTCAGCATCAATTTATAGCCGTAAATAAACCTTTTAACCAATGAAATATCCAAATTCTAACAAATGTTCCATTTCAAATATTGAGTTTTTCCTTTTCCTAAACTGCTTGAAAATACAAAACTTGATTATTTCAGCCTGTTTGAGAAAAACAAAAGCATTTAAAAAATATATAGTATTTTAACAATTTTTACTCAAGAATAATACTGCCATTAGTTTGCAGGGTCTTAAACTTACAAGTAGTTAAATATTCCTTCTTTGACTATGCAGATCTGAGAAGTGTAGGAAGCATGGCAGAGATTACTAAGAAGATAACTTTAATCTGAGTTCCCCTACCTCCAATAAAATATACCTAAGCCTTCAGGTAATAAGCACAAACAGCTGATACCAACTATATAATAAACTTTACAATAAATATGTTGCTCTGCTGCATTTGAGCAGCAAATAAATGATCATTAAAATAGCGTATTTTTGGGGGTGCCTGGTTGGCTTGATCAGTGGAGCCTGTGACTCTTGATCTCGGGGTCATGAGTTCCAGCCTCATGTTGGCGTAGAGATTACTTAAAAAAAAAAAAAAGCCTATTTCTGATGGCTGTGGTGTACTTTTGGATGATCTGGCAAAAAGGGTTGGGGGGAATGGCAGGGAGAGAGTGTGTACAGCAATAAAGATGGAGAAAGTTTGGTTAAGGGATTGACAACTGTTGAATCTAGGCGAGAGTATAAAAGTGGTGTTCATTGTTGTTGTTTCTACTTTTCTGTGTTTAGTTTTTTTGGTTCTAAAACAGTATTATTTCTAAGCAGCTCATATGTAATTTTAAATAGAATGTGACTTATCTGGAAGTAAAATATTCCTAAAGTTAGCTACTGTCTGGGATGCCAAATGTAGAATAGAAAGCGCTACTAATGAAAATATTTTACCTTTCTCTTAAAAGACTTTCTTATATTGAATTTTTGCTAGAATAACAGCATCCCAAGGGTATTGTTTCTTACTCTGTTTTAAAATAACTGTAGAAGGAAAACAAGGAGATCCTGAAGGAAATGTCATCTGTCTCCATATCCCCTGCCCCCAAATCTTTGGTGGTAGTTTTTAAGTAAGCTCACGATTTCATTCTTTTTTATTTTTTTATTATTTTTTAAAGATTTTATTTATTTATTTGAGAGAGAGAATGAGAGAGAGAGCACATGAGAGGGGGGAGGGTCAGAGGGAGAAACAGACTCCTCGCTAAGCAGGGAGCCCGATGCGGAACTCGATCCCAGGACTCCAGGAACATGACCTGAGCTGAAGGCAGTCGCTTAACCAACTGAGCCACCCAGGCGCCCCTCACGATTTCACTCTTAAATGAAAAATAATTCTTGCGTTGGTGTAGAATGCTATTTTCATGTCACTAATAACAATTAAAAGTTACAAAGCAGGCCGACAGCAGCACAAGGAAATAAACGGAGGTCTTCTGCTTCTACATAAAGGTACTCTTCTTTTCAGCTATACCACTCTGTGCCCTATATCCAAAGGATCTTCCTCTGCATAGCTTCTCATTGAGCAATAGTAGTGAATACAAAGATCTGGCTCTCTGAACTCATGTGAGAAGGCCTTTGAGGCCTTTTTTTTCCCTTGCCTATTTAGCATAATTTTTTTTTTTAAGATTTATTTATTTGACAGAGAGAGACACAGCGAGAGAGGGAACACAAGCAGGGGGAGCTGGACAGGGAGAAGCAGGCTTCCCGCTGAGCAGGGAGCCCGATGCAGGACCCTGGGATCATGACCTGAGCCGAAGGCAGACGCTTAACGACTGAGACACCTAGGCGCCCCGATTTAGCATAATGTTCTAAGTTGTTGCTTCAAATTATTTCTAGAAGGAGGTAGAATATAAATTATAGAGAAACAAAAATACTATTAAAATTCATTCCAAATTGTTTTAGGTAGAACTTAAATAGCATCTGTGAATACGTTTTTCAAAAAATTGGCCTTTTTAATTGTATTTGTAAAATCTAATTGAATTTTCTCAAGGTGCTAATTAAACATTTATTAAATAATCTCTACACCCAACATGGGGCTCAAACTCACGACCCCGAGATCAAGAGATGCATGCTCCTCCAACTGAGCCAGCCAGGCGCCCCTCAAGGTGCTAATTAATACCTAACATGTACTTAGCTTTCCTTCCCTCCATAGATAGATAGAACACTGTCTGGGAGCCTCTATGACTCACATTTAATTCTAATAATATCACTCCCACGAGTGATCCTTAGCAGGTTTTTCAATTTGTAAATGGTATAACTAGAGAAGCCAATAAAAATCTCATTATGTTAAAGTAAGATATTTCCTATCCCAACTTCTTTGGACTTAATTCTGTAACATAAATAGCCACGTTAATAAAACACAGTTTTCATGTAGGTCTGCCTTATAAAACGTCTTCCAGTGAGAAGGGAACTTAGAGTATGACTGATTACCAAATGGCCCCTCCATCTACTCATCTCTGATACATATATATATGATAGTTTAGTCTTTGCTCGAACACATTCAGGCCAGCCTTTCTTCCTCATGCAGAGCCAGAATCTGCCCCTCCATAACATTAACTCATTTTTCCAGTTTCAGCCCGAGAGGAATCATCACATTTAATGCTATACAACATTTACTGAATGAACCCTTCAGGCATGGTAGACTTGGTGCAGTGCTTTTCACAGGACATTTAATCCTAAAACTCCTATAGGTGGTACTATGATCATTTCTCCATTGTAACAACAGCAACAAAAAATCTGAGGTCGGAGGTTAAGTTACTTGCCTCGGGTCATATTGGCCAGAAAATGGTAGAGCAGGGTTTGAATTCAGGCCTTAGTCTGAACTTTTTTTTTTTTTTAAAGGTTTTATTTTTAAGTAAGACCCCATGTGGGGCTTGAACTCATAACCTCGAGAGCAGGAGTCGCATGCATGCTCCTCCGACTGAGCCAGCCAGGCGCCCCCTTAGTCTGAACTCTTAATTACCACACCATACAGCCTCTCCAAAGTGGCAAAGTAGGTAGCTGGCTAGTAACAGTCCTCCTGTCACTACTGAAGTTTTCTCTTCTCCCCACCTCTGACCACAATTCTCCTCCATAGGATGCCACAGCTGTATCCCTTGCCATCTGCTTGCTGTCTTCTGGACTTGTTCAACAGAACCCTTTAAATGTGGCTCCATAAGCAACACTAGCAATCAAGTTCTCTAATCCATGACTACCTTAATTTTATTCTCTTCTCCTATCACTTTGTAGCATCTAGGGCCCTGAGCACCACTGCTCTGGGTGATTAATAGATTTGGAAGGGGGGAGGGTAGCAGTGGAGGCCTTGAGTGCCTTGTAAAGATTGAGGAAGCTGGGACAATGACAGATAGGAATGGCTGCAAATTCTGAACCATCACAATAGATTTCCAGCTGTCCGAAATAGTTTTATTTGAGAGTCAATATCCCAATTAATGTGAGCATCACCATCAAGATGAGAGACACTAAGAAATTGTATGTTAAATTCAGTCATTCAGAAAAGGTAGTATTAAATGAAGACTGCATTTATTTTACCTCAATACCAAGGATGTCAGGTGAAAATGAGAATTGGCACCTCTTAACCCTGGACAACAAACTCTGATTCAACCACCCACATGCAAGGGTAAAAGGAGATTTCTTCAGTTATAGCAACGATTCTTCACCATGGCTCTAGGCAGAGGATCCTCTGCATATGGGATTTATGTGGTCCATAAAGGGCCTAAAGTTGTATGCTTGGTTGTATACATAAATATGTATGCTTTTCTAGGAAGAAAGTTCTTAAGAGATCTTCAATAATTATAGCTAATATCACTGAGCACTATATGTAAAGCACTGTGGAAATTTTTAGTGCAAGAAGGCTAAAATTAGCTTTATTATCTGTAGTGGTTGGCAAATAACTTCTGAAAAGAGCAGCAAAACATTTTTACCCTAATAATGGCTGTACAGGTCAAAAAAGCATGATATGATATGATATTAATGAAGTATGTAAAACTGGAATTCACTTAACATTATATTTACTCTGATATTAAAGTTAAATTCCTTAAAACACTATTTCCAAAGGCTGTGCAATATTCTACCATTGTGCATTTATTTAACCATTTGCTTCTCCTAATACATTTTTTTTTTTTTAAAGATTTTATTTATTTGACAGAGAGAGACACAGCGAGAGAGGGAACACAAGCAGGCGGAGTGGGAGAGGGAGAAGCAGGCGGGGCTCAATCCCAGGACCCTGGGATCATGACCTGAGCCGAAGGCAGATGCTTAACGACTGACTGAGCCACCCAGGTGCCCCCTCCTAATACACATTTAGATATACTTATAATTGTGAAAAATTAAGGATACTGCAACTGACATTTTGGCATCCATCGTCTCTTTGCATTTCTGATTATTTCCTTATCATTAATGCTTAAAAGTAGAAGTACTTAAACATTTTAAAGACTCTTGCTACATATTGTCAAACTTCTTTCCTCAAAGATTATACACATTTACTTTAAGAGAAAAGAATATGGATCTCATTAAACTCTTGCAGCATTAAATATTACCATAAAATCAAACTTTGTTGTTTTAATTTGCATTTCTTTAATTACTGGTGAGGCTGACATCTTTTAACATGTGAAATAGCTATTTCAGAATGTGTGGTAACAGTATTAGGCTTGGAAAAAGATTAAAGAAAGGTGTTAATCAGTTGCCTGACAGTAAAGTTCTTCTCAAAATTACACATGTAGGTGGGAAGGGTATGGAGGAAGAAAAGCTTCTCTAAAGGGCAAAATTAATTCTTTCCAAATTTCCTGGTTATTTTTAAAGAAATAGTGAGGAAACAGAAATTACCAAACCTGACGGCCTATGAATCAAACCTCACTTTTTTATATCCAGTCAGGTATCAAGTCCTACCCCTTTCGCTTGTAAATCCTACTT